ATCACAGTAGGGTTCAACTTATGTTTCAGAGTCATCTGCATCTCATCTATTGCAAAAATCCTCTCCAGTTATAACACACAAGCTATTCTTCATTGCAAATGTTATAAAACAAAAATAATTTCATACCACTGAACATGATTAATGCAGAACTCTAAGTTTGAATTTTGTTTCATTCCACATTCAAGTGGAAGCCATTTCATGTGTGTGATTATATTAAATGATTTGAAACTGAAGTTTGCTACCAATTCTTTGCTGTCAGTTTTTAGACATTTTTTAACATATCATTAATATAATGATTTTCTAAACTAAAATTTCTACTCTTCTCTAAGAGCATTTTCACCAAATGCAGAATATTTCAGAGTGAATTTATACAAGTACACATAAAAAAATGTAGAAAAATGAACAAAATTAAATTAAGCCTTTACTAAGGGGTTACTGAATGTGAGAGAATATGAGAAAAAAAATAATTATTAAGGAAAGATAACAATAAAGAACTGGAATTAAGACAAAAAATAAGAATTGATATTATATTTAAATTTTTGAAGATCAAAGTTGACTGAAAAGCAAGAAACCTGAAGAGAGTTCCACAAGCAATGCAATAGAAGAACTGTTAACATAGAACTTAGAGTTACATCTAGCAATTTCAACTGTAAGATAATGAAACATTGCAGTCAATCTAGTTTGCACATAAATTCATAAAGTCTTGATACCATAGAGGAAAGATCAGGATAATTACTATGAAAATATTTATAGAAAAACCACAAGGAAGATACAGTGGTTGGAAATTGACTAAAGCTGAGATGCCAGGTCAGAACCAATAACATTACAGATTCTTCTTTGAATTTTATCAAAAATCTCTAAATAGATACCAGAACCACCAGACCAGATAATAAAAGTTCCATTTTCCTAATTACTGCTGTCCATAATCATCTGTGTCATTTGAAAATCTAATTTATATAAATATTTTGTGTTTTCTAACAGCAAAAAAAAAAGTCAGCTAAAAGTGAGATTAAAGGAAAACCAAAAATAATTAAAATATTCAAAGGATGGACAAATGGTATATGTATAAATATGTAAGATAGATTATAGTCAACAAAATTGTCTAGGATGACACAGTGTACCAACTTTCTTAGCCGTGGACCTAGCAATTATTACAAAACAATCTTTCCACTTCATGTTAGTGGAAAAAGTTAGTCTGAAAAGTCACAAGGTATCATTCTCCTGGAGGTTAGCATCTGCCATACTGATGAATGACAAAAAAGGTTCTCTCATACAATTAAAAGAATGCAGTTTTGTTTTGAAGATGTTAAAATTAACAAATCATTTCTTGCCCCAGATACCAATAGATTGTAGGTTATTTTTGAGCTCAACTGTTAATCTGACATTATTGAACCAATCAGACTTACTATTAAGACTAGTGTAATATAAAATATTAATAAAAAATTCATTTTAAAACATGTTAGTTTTAAAACAAAATTTACAATTTTATACTGAACAACTCAATACATTAATAAGTTGAAAACCAATTCAAGTAAAATTGACAATATTAACTGTTTTATTCTAATCATGAGTCACTTGTTTTTGTTTTTTGAGATTTTATGACAAATGGTAATGAAATTAGAAAGTGAATTCAACTTTTCACAGTAAGAAATAAAAATTTTGTATAGATTTTCAATATTCTCATCTTAAGAAATGAGAAATAGTATAAAAGAGCAAAATAGTAGACAAGATGATAAAAGGATTGATAACACAATTTCACTAAATAGGCAATAATGATAAACTTTCATTCGTAATGTTTGAAAGATGATATGAAATATGAACAAAATGACATTTCTTAATCAAATATTCATTAATTAAAAGTAAGTTTCAGTGTTAGTCTTGAAAGTTGTTTGATTATTCAAAATGATTTTCTTAAATTTAAATAAATATTCATAGAAACAGAATGTTAGGAAATTGGCATTCATGGCTAATGCATATTTTACAAATGTCTAAATAGACAAGAAAAAAAACAAAGAAAATATATCAACTGAGTATTGCATTTACTTATCATTATGAAAAAGAAACTTAATTTAGTATGAGCATAATGTTAGAAAGATTTGCTCAGAAAAAAAAAGCAGAAATTTGAGTGATTCACATTTTACAAGAATACACAAAATAGAATAGAAGACTTACCCAAGATCTAAATAATCATTCAAAAATCTTAAATGAAAAGTGCATAATTATAACACTTGATAATTACTAATTTAACAATATATAAAAGGTCCCCAAAATATGGTATATAAAAAGAAATTGACAAAAAAAAGTTTTACAAGTTTAAAAAGTGAATATAATAAATTAATTGATTTAAAATGTTTTTTTTTCGCTACACAGTTCTAACCATGTTTCAAAAATGGAAGCTAAAAGCCCTGAATTTAAATTAAAGACATTAGTTCCATTTCATCCTCAAGCGAATTTTGGAGTAACTTTTAAAATTACTGGGTTTTAAAAACACAGCTAAAATCATTATTCATGTTTCCAAGGTTACAGATGAATCCAATTTACTAGACGAGGGTTGTCTCAGTGTCTATATTTTAATGTATCAGTTATTGCTACGTTTTGGTAGTGGGTAGGGATGTATTTTTCAATGAAATCTAACATCTGTTAAAAGCGTGTCGTCTGGATTTTTTAAAAATTTTATTGTTAATGGCTAAAATTCTTATGGCATTTTTTTCCTCGTATATTCAAAGATTTTGGGGGGTGTTTAGGTAAGAATTAAAAGTAAAAATATTTCAAATCGTAGTTGATTTGAAATATTTTTTACTTTTAATTTTTAATATACTATATTTCTTTCAAGAACAATTAAATGTAATGGGAATCCCTTACAGTTTGTAGAATTATTATCACATCAAGTACATTACGAACTGTTTTAAAATTTTATATTTAAATATTATTTAAGTAAAATTTTCATTTCTCTGATTTAGTAAACTTTATTTATTTAATTACAATTTAAGAAGTTTAGGTTAGAATTCATTTTAATGAACTACAATTTTAATTTTAATTACAACTTTAAAGTATTTTCATTATTAGTTTTTATAGACTACATATTTCATTTAATAGAAGTAAATCTATTAGAATTACTTACATTAAGTAAAATTATTTTTCTATATCAAGTATATTTATATTACAATTTTTAAAATTTTATATTTAAATATTATTTAAGTAAAATTTTTTTTTTTTCACTTACGGCAAAAATAGTTAATTCTATTCTCTGATTTAGTAAACTTTATTTATGTATTTAAATACAATTTAAAAGAAGTTTAGGTTAGAATTCATTTTAATTAACTACAATTTTAATTACAACTTTAAAATATTTTCATTATTAGTTTTTTTTAGACTACATATTTCATTTAATAGAAGTAAATATATTAGAATTACTTACATTAAGTAAAATTATTTTTCTATATCAAGTATATTTATATTACGATTTTTTTAAATTTTATATTTAAATATTATTATAACTGTAAGGGATTCTAATTACATTTAATTGTTCTTAAAAGAAATATAGTATATTAAAAATTAAAAGTAAAAATATTTCAAATCAACTATGATTTGAAATATTTTTACTTTTAATTCTTACCTAAACACCCCCAAAAATCATTAAATGTATGAGGAAAAAAATGCCGTAAGGATTTTAGCCGTTAACAATAAAATTTTTTAAAAATCCAGACGACACGCTTTTAATGGATGTTAGATTTCATTGAAAAATACATCCCTACCCACTACCAAAACATAGCAATAACTGATACATTAAAATATAGACACCGAGACAACTCTCGTCTAGTAAATTGGATTCATCTGTAACCTTGGAAACATGAATAATGATTTTAGCTGTGTTTTTAAAACCCAGTAATTTTAAAAGTTACTCCAAAATTCGCTTGAGGATGAAATGGAACTAATGTCTTTAATTTAAATTCGGGGCTTTTAGCTTCCATTTTTAAAACATGGTTAGAACTGTGTAGCGAAAAAAAACATTTTAAATCAATTAATTTATAATATTAATGCTCTGTAAGTTTATATTGAGCACTATTTTGTAAAAATAAAAATATCTATAAGAACACCAGATTATATATCTTACTGTTCTTTCTTTTTATTTATTTATCTATATATATATATATATATATATATATATATACACACACACTCAAATGGATAAAGTACACATTGCTCAAGGTTTTTAAAAAAAGAAGTAAATACTTTCTGTAAAACTGAATTAGGAAAAATACATAATATTGATACTAACAAAAAATGAAAATAAAATGTTTTTAAGTCAACACTGATAAATGATGGTTACTTAGGACAAGACTTTAAATAATATCTGATGAAAAATTCACAAGGATTTATAATGAAAACAGAGTAAAATTTCCAATTAAAATACTTTTACTACAGTTTCATTGTTCCCACAAAAGCAACCTCTTGATCAAAGGAAACATTCAGTTTTTAGTAATTTTTAATAATTTGTGTTATTGACTAATTTCAAAATTAACACTAAATTCTTGGATATGCATAATTAAAGTTACATCAAAATAATGTTAATTCTTTTATTTCTCTTAAACAAACTTTGAAGTACATCTGTTATGACATTTTGGAATAAATTTTCTCAAGATAGTTTGTATTACAAGCAAATGTGATATCAAGATTTACATGAAACTTCAATTTAAATTTTAATTACTAATCATGAAATGTATGTGTCTGTATTATAAAACTCATAATTGTAATTAAGGCAAGGACAATATGATAGAATACATCAAGTATTCCAGCAAAGAAGATAAACTTATTATTTTGTTGTGATTAATAAATTTAAAGACAATACAGGGAGTTTTATTCTTACAAATATTCCTATAAGGAAATACAATAATGTTGGCTTAAGAAATGTAAACATTTTAATAAGAACATTTATAAAATTAGCTACCAAGTTTCTACAATTGTTAAAGTGTTTAAGCAAATCTGATCTACAAACTTACTGGATTGAAGTAGTTCGGGTCAGCACCTTTAGACAGCAATCTCAGACATGTTTCCAAGTTACTTGTACGCACGCTTGAGTGCAATTGCTGAAATTTTAAGAATATTTCATTAAATTAATAGGCAAAAAAGATTTATAAATGCAGGAAATTAATCCAGAAACAAGAAATATACAACAAACCTAATGAATTCTTACTCAATACTTTCATTTTTTTTATTTAACTTTTTTACTTTCCTTCTTTGTGTCCGCAAAAGTTTGCAATGCTAAAATACTTTTCTATTATGTATTCAGTTTGGACTTGTCAAAAACAACCTGGGAAATTATAAAATATTTCACTCTTTTTTAATTTCTAAACATTCCCAGTTTTTATTTTATTTTTTTTTATTTTTGTAACTTGTTTTCTTTCATTTGTTTACATTTTAATTGAGCAATCATTAGGTTTGGTTACAGCAATTTTTAAGTCATGTCTAAATCGAATACAAATATTCCAAAACTTCACTTTCATAATTTTCTACTCTCTAAGCTTATATTAGAAAATGTGAATATTAAGAGATAGAATTGTCAAGTGGGAAACTGTTATAAACCCAAGTACAAAAAAAATAAAACAAAAGAAACTTATCCATTGTTCTTGTCAATCATTAAATCAATTAAAAAGAAATTCTTTAACTTATTTCTATCTAATAAATATATAGATGAAGAATATACAACACCTAAATAATATTTTCTATCTTATGTCACAATTCGACATATTAGCAAAACCATAAATATTCTGCAGAATTTAGAGATATCAACTAAAATCTACACAGAGATATCAACAACTAGCCATGCTTACCTTAACTCAAAGTGAATGAAAAAGACAATGACTGATAACATTTTTTGTAGAATAGATATAAGTTCAAGATAAACTGGGTTTTATGTAAATCATTCCAATCATATCATTGTTTTTGTATCATATTCATGAGACAGAAAATTGTGATAAGACATTTTTCAATAAGTTTTTAACTATTACTACTAATACTAATAATAATCATGATGATGACTGATTCAAGTTCAAGCCAATAATTAGGCTTTTAAATTAAAACTGTATTCTTAGGACAGTTTATCTTTGAAATTCTAAATTCTATAATATGGGAAAGTTCTAATATACTTGTATTATTTCAAACCATTGTTCACATCTTGGTACCCTCTGGTACATTATCAGATGTCCATTGATTGGCTGATATGAGATATCTGTTGATTATTGTGATATTTTATAATAGCATTTGTATCAAACAAGATGAGAACAATAGTTCCAAATAATACAAGTATATCTCTGAAATGAAATACTAAAATTAGTTTTTCGTCTAAGTCATGTTGGTAAAGTAAATATTTCCCATAAATGATAAAAATACTACTTTTAAAAAATATTAATCAGTTTGTTGATATTGAAAGCTAGAACAAATCAAGATTTTAAGAATTTTACCATGAAATAAGATAAAGAATAAGAATAATACCCAAAACGGTCCGGTTCTCATTAATCTGCTAGAATTGTCAAGAATTGGGAAATGTGATTCAATGCAAATATTGAGATACAAAATCTAATCAACTGCATCACATCTTAGAGTTTTTGTTGATGTAAAAGAAAACACATTTAGTACAACTTACAGCCTCTCTCACAATAAATATTCATTCCTTTCATAGAATATTATTTTCTAATTCCCTTAATGTAGATATTCAACTCAATTCACTATATGGCATAATTTCTGAATAAAAATTATTTTCAGCATCAAGTGGAGTATTTTCTCGTGCTTGCTACAATTATAAAATTCATGGCAACCTATCCCAAATACCTACTTCTGTATAGTGCAACATCCAATAAGACTGTGAAACCTCCTGATAAGTGAACTGAACAATTACAAGGAGGAACAAAGAGCAGTGATTCATGGTGGTCAAAGAATCATATTATCTCCCTTCATCTATCACTTTTTCAACTAACACAACAGCAGGACTGAAACTTGAAATATTATGGCAGATTTCCTTTATCTGCCATATGTCATCATTATGCAGTAAATTAAAGGATATCTATATTTTTTTTTTTTTTTTTTTTTTTTTACAAAAAATTAAATTGTTCCATTTGTCTAAGGTAACAGTGAATTCAAGTATTTATTTTTTTTTTTTTTTTTTTAAATCAAGAAACTTAATAATGATAAATTTCATAAAAATTAATAAAACTAAAGAGTTACAAATATTTTGTAAGTCTAAATTAAGATCTTTAAATAAATTTTCCTTGTAATTCCAAAGTGGCTGTGATCATACCATCTAAAGATCAGTGCCTCATTGTAACAACATGAACAAAAGAATTCAATTGTAATAAACTGAAATGCTAAAATTATTAAGATAGCATCACAATTTTCATAAGTCTTTCTGAAATTCACATATTCCAGGTATATCATTACTACTATAAAAACCTTGAGTAGTTTTCACCTCAAAATAGAGTCACATGTTTCTGGCTTCAACAATCATTGCACAATTAAACAATATCTGCCAGAGTTACAGTACATCATACGTATATAATCTAGCAAAATACATTTCTCCAAGAGCGAAGGGCTAAATCAATCTGTGTACTGCCGTCTCTAATTTTGGGGCTCTTCAGATTAGATTTTTTGTTCAAGAAAACTTTATTGAAAAATTCATAAGAATATCTGCATTTCAGAATACCTTAAGTAAGGTTTGACTTATATAGTCAATCTTTTTCTCTACAACTGTAAAAAAAAAAAATAATTTTGTGATCAGAAAAAAGAAAATCTATTTTTTTTTTTAAGTTAACCAAGCCAAAAATCAATTTTTTTGAACAGACCATGCTGACGAGCTGCACTTTGCTGACTTTCTACCAACTGTAATGAACATCACTATCAATATTACTAATTCACATGAGTCTTGAAACCTTTGAAGAAAGCAGCTTAATAGAATAACTAAGAACCAACCAGGCCAACATCAGAGGCTACATTTTTTTAAATGAATTTAATTTTCTTCTCTTTTCTTTAAAGTCAAATTTTAGAAATATGCTCAAGTTCATCAAAAGTTCACTGACAATATATGGGTACACATTATCTGCTGCTTGAAGAAACCAGAAAGATCTTAAAAATGAGAAAAGAGATAATTGCTTTACTAAAATAATTAGCTTTACAAAGATGTTAACAAAAAATCTGAAAATGTGTTTCAGAATTCCACAAAAGAATTGCTATCAAATTCCAAACAAAGCATTTTTACTGAAAAAAAAAAAAAAAATCACACACACACAATTCCAATCAATTTAATTTCTGTTTGTCTCAGGGTATTTTGCTTACTGGAAAAAGTAAATTTATAAATCCTTTGTCTTTTAACTAAAGCTAAAATGAAAGCTTCAAGAAAGTTTTTTATTTTTAAAAATTAATTTTAAACTTTACGTATACCGAATTAGTGAAGATACCTATAAAGGATTTAAAATTTACTATTAACAGTAAGCAAAATACTCTGTGATGTATTTCAAACAGAAATTATATTGATCAGAATCGATTTTTTTCAGTAAAATTGCTAAAAATCGGCCATTTTGACACATTTGTAAACAAAAGTTAATTCTTGATTTTAAAAATCTTGCAAAAATAAAATCTATATTTCTGAAATGTTATTTGAGGAAAAAATATCAAATTTAAAGTTAAATTAATCTGATTTGAAACAAATATTATTTACTTATAGCATAAAATGTTGTATACAAGCATTTCTTAACTACAGGTCTTATTTTTCTGACATGTTAATCAATTTATTGACAGCTGATTAACTGCCAGACATGTTCATAATTAGATATCTTAAACAGCTTCTTCCTGCAAACCACTGCACCATAGAACATACTACCTAGATGATGTTTCCCCAATAACTACAATCTTAACCTGTTCAAGTCTAGAGTCAACTATTATCTTACCCTCCTATACATGTAAACTACACCTTAATGTAACCCTCTACCTCAAGTAGACCTCTCCCCACACCATCCTTGTACAGGGTGAACCTTACTAAAAAAAAAAAAAATTAAAAAAAAAGTATGGTGGAGTAGACGATAAATTTCATATGAGGGTTTTTTTTCCCAACCCTTAAAACATGTGACCTTTTAATGATAACATTTTAGGTTTGGACATCTATACTTTGAAATTCTGCATGTACATCACATATACAAATCAAAATTCTTTCAAAAATATTCAGGGGTTGTCAGATTGTAATAAGCTTTACAATATACAATTAATAAATATAGTTTTACCTAATAATATTTTCTAACGTTATCACAGTGAAAATGAATTTTAAAAGATTTAAAAACTTTATAAATTATTCAATTTAAAATTATAAAAAATGAAAACAAATCTTGTAAAAATTCATTTTTATTGAAAAATTTTTTTCTTCTTCAAACAATATTGTCTTTAATATATATTATTCATAAAAGCAATTAAAAGTTTCTCTAATTAAATAATGTCTTAGCTTTATTGTGTTTTTATATTTCGATCCAGAACAGATTTTCTGTACGATGTGATCTGATTTTGAAGAAGAAAAAAAAAAGAAAAAAAATCAGTTATTTAAATTCTTCAAAGAATTCTGCTCCTAACTAAAAATTATCACATTCAATTTCTCAAGTTTTCATAAAATTAAGTGGGGTGGGGGGTGAGGTAACATATGTAAAATATATATATATATATATATATATATAGCAAGATTTTCAAAAATAATTTAATTCATTTGTGAATAAGTCCTGAAATCCAACAATTATTTGATTTTTGCAAGAATTTCCAAATTAATGTGTCAGTCACTACAAGAAAGAGGCTAAAATATGCTATGCTAAAAGTTAGTACAACCGCTGATGCAAGAAAAACAAGATTTTTTTAATAAAAATTTCCAATATTCTAAAAAGGAGAAAAAAATTAAATTAAACATTAAAAAATACTTTGATCCATCTGCTTAATAATAAAGATTTTGACAATAAAACTAAGTTTTCATTACATTTGGAGCATGTTTTCATCATGGTATGCTGATCTTTTTGCGGAGGTGCTTACTTAAAAAAAATAAACAAACTTCTGTTTGAAGTTTCCAGAAAGACTGCTTTTTCACACAAAAGTTTATATTAAAAAAAACTAAAATTTTCATCAAAAATGGTATTTAATTTTATTTTACTAATATTTCTCTTGGCCATAATTAAACTTTCCTGTGTTACATTATTATAGCATTTAAAATATTTTTAACTTTTTTCTCATTTACTCATTCTTAGAGCCAAATGAGATGCAAGTTTTATGTTTTCAGACCCCAATTATAGCAAATGTATCTAATGCCAAGCAGAAAAGTGTAGTTTGAAAATTTTTATCATCCCATCACATTAAAGTATATTTATAAAAAACAAACTGGTATTTACCTTACTAAGGTCTTCAACTGTTGACACATCACCATCTTTGCCCTGATTGACAAAGGACAAAAACTGATATTTTGTCCTGATATAATGATCTTTGTTAGGGCTACAAGACAAAAAAAAATAATAATAATAATAATAGATTCATTTTTCTGAAGGTGTTCATTTTTTTTTTTATTATTATTATCTTCAAGTACTTTTTAAAAACAAAATGGTTTTATAACAAAATTAATCCCAATTTACTTTAACACCTGTAAAAGTAAAAACACCATCAATAAATAATTCACGAAAATGGCTTATTCTGTGACTGGTGACAAATTCCTATTTCAACTTTCTTCGTCTTGAATTCCTGAGAGTTAATTCCATTCTCACTTGAAATTGCTATCATGGCTGCTTGGAATAACTTTTTTTTCTTTTTTATTCCTTTCACTTATTTTGTTCTACAGTGCCTAAAAAAGACAACACATAAATGGCATGCCATTTTGTGAACTTTTAGCACTTAGAGTGTTTTAATCGAGATATATAGCTGGTAGGAGTTATCTTATTAATTACAAAATTCTTAGATGTATATTCATTTCTTGGTATTATGAATTGAAACTCTACCAAAGTTATTAACATTCTTTTGCTAATGTATGCCTTTGCATGTAGTCATCTACTTTATTTACATTTAAATCTCATATTGCCTCCCAACAGGAATAAGACTTGTATTCCTTTTTAATCTGGGGAAAATACTTTCAAGGTAAGGAGGAACTTTTTCTTTATTATGACTTTCAATGTCTAGGCCATTAGACATTCAATTTATTGTTTAAAAAAAAAAAAAAAAAAAAAAAAGACATGGTTGTTTATTTAAACATGTGTACCTACTAAATATAAGATTTATAGTGATACAAAATTTACTTCATTATATTTGTCTTGTTCTTAATGTAACCATCTTTCTCTATAATTATCTTACCCAGTGTCAGCTTTGATCAGTCACAGCCTTATATGCCAAAAATCTTAAAATAGAAATGAAGGAATCAATAGAAAATTCTTTAAGAGTAACTTACTGAACAGGGTCATGTGGTTGGGGTTTCTTCTTGCAATGTTTGTTCTGTGAGGGATCCAACAAAGAATGTTCCCAGATATTGTTGGCACCACTGCTGTAGAGCTGATGCACCATCTTTAAAAAAAAAAAGAAAATCATAGATCACTAGGGCTATGTATTGTAATAATCAGAGATAATCATCACCACTACTAGAGCATTCTGAAAAAATGTTGCGTCACACTTGTTATTAAATGGAAGAGGTAATCTTAATATTTTTTTTAAGTTTGTAAGTTATAGTTATATAATACTCATAGAATCAATAAATTTGGAGGGATGTATTGTTACATGCTTTAATATCCTCCAAATAATGATTGACTAGCTTGGTGCAAAAATTAGTTTTTATCCTCTGTGTACATAATAAAAAGTAAGAAGCATAATCTGCTTTACATAAGAATGAAAGCTGTTCACTAATTTTACTGAGAATGAAATGAAAAATTATTTTCCTTGGGATTAATCTAAAGTATTATTTAAATTTTTTTTTAAATTTAAATCAAGTCCAGAGTCAAGATTTTGAAATGTTCAGTTTTGAAAACATGAACCAGCTTTTCTTTTGTTAAGAAAATACTGTCTCAATTATACTTTTTTTTCATGGAAAAATATTGATTCAAAGCATCAAATTTTAAAACATAAGTAAAGATAATTGATTTCATTTATGAGAATATTGGCTCAGGAGCAATAACAAGCATAGACCAATAAGAAATAACCTGGTTGTTCCAATACATCTCTATTGCAAGCATTCAAAGGAACAGCTTCTCAAATATTAAAGACTGGAAGTAGAAACTTTACTTTTTAAAGTTCCTTTGATTCACATTTCTCAATATGATTAACAGAGAATGTTTCATTTACTTCTTACTGTGGTATGATCCATCTCCCCCATTAATGGATCTGTCCTGAACACACATATTCATGTGAACTCTGCTGATATGCAGAATTTATTAAAGCAATACGTATTGGCACAAACAATTCTACTACAATATAATAAATTCCCATTGTTATTTTGAAAATGGCTAATTTACTCTGTCTAGAGAAACTTATTGACCCCAACGCATCTGATGCGAAATTGGAATATCGTCACTGGAGAGTAACTTTCATGAGCCTCTTGAGTATATACTGCGACCAAAATTCTAATAAGTTATACTATCACACCAAATATGTCTCGGCACAAGTTTATGATTATTTCACAGATGCATCTTCCTACAAAGAGGCTTTAACAATACTGGATAGTATCTACATTAAAAAGAAAAATGAAATGACACTTATTGGCTACAAGGTGTCAACTGCCCTCCATTGATGGATTTTATCAAGCCTTAATAAAACTAAAAACTGTTCATTTTCTTTGGTATTGAGCCAAATTGAAACAAGATGCCTTCATAAAAAGGCTACGGGCTACAGGCCACAGATATCTAATGAAGAATACTTGAAAACAGCACCTTAACATTACAGCAGGCAAGAATAGTAGATTTAGCAGAATAAAATGCTAAAAATTATGATACATAGACCTCTCCACCTATTTTTTCAAGCAGAACATGACAAAAATCTTAAATTATTCATGGCAGTTGTTAAAAAGTAAAAGTTTATCCTTAACCAAGACAAATGTTATTCTAGACATAAAATATAAAATTACTTTGGTACATAATTAATAGAAACATAAAACCTGATCCAGAAGCTCTGAATCCATTACTCAGCCTACCAGTCCCAAAATATTTACCCGCTCTGTGCTGTGCATTAAGAATGTTTGTACTTTATGCACATTGGCTATTGTCTTATTTAGACAAAATCCACCCCCTAACAACAGTATCAAACTTCTCATTATCTCCCATAGCAGAGAAATTGTTTTAGTTAAAGAGGGACATAGCAAAAGCAGCTATTACTATGCCCAATCATAGACCACCTTTGGTAGTAGAGACAGATGCCTCAGAATGCAAAATAGCAGCCTCTTTAAGAGGGTCAAGGAGGCCCATAGCCTTTTTCTCCAGAACCTGTCTAAAAGGGAACATAGGCATTCTGCAATAGAGAAAGAAGCTTATGCTATTGTGAAAATAGTGAAAATACTGAAAAAAATGGAGACATTATTTGATCGGACAACATTTTAAACTAATTACAGACCAGAAATCAGTCTCATGTTCAACTCAAAAACAACAAGCAAAATTAAAAATGAGAAGATAGTCAAGAGAGTGGAACTCTCATATTACTCATTCAACGTAATATACTCTGCCCTGATAAAGAAAATGTAGCTGTGGATGCCCCTCTCTCATGAATATAGCTTGGCTGCTTGCAAAGAAGAGTTAAAGAGACTACATAATGAGTTGTGCCACCCAGGTGTTACATGCATGGTTCACAAGATGAAAAATCAAAAACCTTTCTACTCAGTAGAGGATGTGAAAGAAATCATCAACTCGTGTAAGACTTGCACTGAAAATAAACATAGGCTTTACCTCCTAACACCAGCAAGGTCATAAAAGCCATGCAACCCTATAAAAAAAAATCACATCAGATTTTAAAGAACCACTTCTGTCAAATCTAACAAACATATACTGACAATAATTGACAAATATTCCTTTTAGCAATGCCCTTCCCCAATGTATCCTCTACAAAAGTCATACAAGCATTTTGCTCAGTTTTTGCTATCTTCAGGCTACTCGCGTATATTCATTTGGTCAGAGGGGCTTCATTTATGTCCAAACACATACAGTGATTCCTACAAGAAGAGTAGCTGTAAGTAGAACAACCCCATATAACACTCAAGGCAATGCCTAATGCAAGAGGTATAATGGAATAATTTGGAAAACTGTTCAACTATGTTCATTAGAACAGGCTACACTAGATTAAGTTTCATTCAACATTGTAAGTTACAACCTAAAAACTTAAATCATGTTCTTAAAAAACCTCATTAGATCAAGACTTTTGATATGGATAAACTCATTAAGAAATATTTATACTGTGAGCTGTATACAACCACTTTCTCAGATCAATAGTTAAAAATGGCTTTGAGTAAATAAAACCAATAGGTCTTAGGTACGTACCAACTTTCTTTGAACCTTAGCAATACAATATCACAAAAAACTGTACCAAATAACAGACACCACATCACTTGAGAACTTTTAATAACAGCAACAACTAAAATAGATAGCACATGTAACACAAAGAGAAAATAATAACATAATCAAGACATTAACATTCCATACTACAAACAGAATGTTAGGAAGGAAAACCACCATTAATACTTGAAAGAGCAATAACAGTTAGTGGACTTGTGAAACCTCTTTCCCTGAAAAATTGGCTGCTGAGTCAATGACTACCAAATGAAAAAATGATTTATTTTACCATTCAATATACATACGACTATTAAAATAATCATCAGTTTTTGCTATACAGTGTGCAATAGATAAATTGTCTTAATTATGCAAAAATGAAAATAACACCAACATCTCATTTTAACAGATATATTTACCAAAACTACACAAAAATATCTTGAAATACTAAAGAGTAAATTTATTCAATAAAATCGCGATTAGCTTCAATCACAGCCTCCAAACAACTTCAGAATCCCTTGCAACTTTTCTGGACAGTCTCCATGTTTAAGTTGGTGAATAATCCTTACCTTCAGTTAATCTTTAGTATTACCAGGAGTTTTGTTGGTCTCTCACTCAGCTGAACCCCACACATAATAATCAAGAGGGTTGCAGTCTGGCCAGATATAAAAAGTGATGTGATCACAGAAATTGTCTTCAGCCATGACTGGGTTCTCCTGCTTGTGTGGCATGGTGCAGAATCCTGTTGCCAGACATAGGATCTTCCAGCAGACATCCTCTTGATCCAGGGCAGCACTACCTCCTCAAAGCATTTGATGTAGGCACCTGTGTTGAGTCTAAATCCCTCCAACAAATTCAGGAGTTCTTTTCTTATCAGATCGATCACAGTGAGTCTTCTGATCTGCCGTACCTTTGTAACCACCATTAGACTCATCCAAACCTTTCTGAATCCTCTGCACTGTTCTCAGATTGACACTCAAACACCTTGAAATGTTTGTATTGGATCATGCCATTTCCAAATTTCTGGTGAAGTGAATTGTGTCATGGTGCTCTTTTTCACACAGACAATGCCCAATTATATTGTGCAGTCATCAAAATCAAAAACAAACAACATACATGTGTGAAATTAAAAGCATAAAATGGAAACAATTTATCCATCACACCCTATATTCTTTTGCTATAAAACTAATGCAAATTTATAGTTTGAAAAAGATTACATATGTGAATAAATATTATTGCATATAATGTTGCTAATTTTGTTTAATTGCCTACTAAAAGTAGAATTGTTTTCAAATGCTGAATGATCAGGATGGACTAATAAAGATAAACAAAAACAAAAAAAAACACACATTTTAAATAACTTACAGTTAGCCGTGATGGAGTCCATTGTGCCTTTTTAAGATGCTTCACTTGTGATATATGGCGCCCCAGGCTCCTATGTACACTACAGCATTCATGGCATATAAGAACACCCCTGTTGACTGATGCCCATATAGGATCTGTAAAAAGAATTTAAATTTAATCAAACCAATCTAAAATTGACTAAGAACACATGAAATATACAAAATACTAATAATACAGTTTACAAGAGTACATTTATACATGGATCAACGAGGCTAGTAGATGTAGTTGGATAAAAAATACTGTTCAATTAAAAGAACAGAACTTCTACATCAAAAATAGCATTAAAACAAAATAAATAAAAAATGAAAATATGTTGTATTTAATCCTTTTTCTAAAAATAAATTGTCTTTATTTACATTAGGATATGATACAGACCAGATATGGATGCAGATTCAAATCCTGCTAGAGGTCTCACACACACACACACACACACGGATCAACATATGCACATATTGCAAAATAAGGGGTATCTCAACAGAACTTAAACCCAATATTAATAGACCTTACATACAGAAGTGGAAGAGAAGAAACTGTTAGCACAGAACTTATGGTTACAGCCAAATCTGGTGCAAGGCTCTCATGACTCCCAATCTATGATATGGCCCTTCCCCACTACATTATTGCATTATTTCAATTTTCATATGGTAGTATTCATATAAAATACAAATTTTATTGTACATTATGTACAATAATGAATCATATGCAATATAGGTGAACAATTCAACTAGAAAAATTGAAAATAAATACAATGTATCTAAATACAAATTAGAGACATGTCATAATAGATCATTCCATCTTAAAAAATTCAACAATGTTTTGCGGCAATTTTTAACATCAATTTGAGACTTTTCTTGTTAAAAAGTTGAATTTTAACACATACAACATTATAAATAAAAATAGTCAATTTTATATAGTGTTTTTTTTTAAGACTTAGCATGAACAAAACAAATTCAGAAAAAAAAAGAAAAAGAAAAAAGACCCCCCAGAATAACATCAAAATCCACAAAAATTTTTCATCCTCATACTCAGTTGTGCTTAGTTTAATATGTCATGTATATAAATGTATGTAGAAAAAAGTAAATGTTGATAAGATGCAATAATGTACTTCTCAGGACCCCTTAATCAGGGCCCCCGCCCATTGTTGGGGGTTTGGGAGTAGTACGCAATGGCACTGGTTACAGCTAACAATTTCAACAGTAAAATGATCAGACCTAACTACCACTCTAGTCAGTCAGTTAAGTGCCATACATGATACACACTTGGGTGATCATGTCTCTTTCAATTCATGACTGACTAGGCAAAATATTTTTCCACAATAGGCTGCTGTTTCTTTCTGCAGTAGACTAGTTGCCAACCAAAGCTATAGCATCCTGCTATTCAACCCATAGCTGTGGGGAGAAGAGATGGATTCATACTTTTCCCAAGAGTATTTGCACTTAAGGGAATGTAATGAACGAATCTAGTACTGTGCTTAAATTTGTAAAGTCAAGGTACCAAAGAGGAAAGCTCATCAGAACAATCACCATGGAAATATTTATAGAAAATGTACAGGGAAGTTACATTACAGCAGTGGGAAAGTGATTGAAGCCAAGATGCCAGGTTAAAACAGGCAACATTGCAGATTCTTCTTTGGATTCTGTCAAGTGGTGTAAGATAGACTCTGGCAAAATGTTCAGTGAGTTATAAATTATGGCACTCCATACTATTGTAGTCAAGTAAACTCAGAAAGACTTTTTACTCACAAGATCTACATTGCAATTAGAAATGATAACCAGCACTCATCACTGAACACTACAGAGTATTATTATCTGTTAGCCTCTTATAACACCACATTTACTCTGATCCATACTGATACTGTCATCATACCAAATATTATCACACAATGCTTCAATGTCTATAGCACAATATGACCCAAATCTTTGTAAATTTTATCAAAATATCTATTATTGGCTAGCATGTATACACTGTATATGTTATCCATCAAGATGTTTCAATTTTATTTTTGATGAAGGCGTGTCTTACATTCTAAAATCTCTTATAAGTAAGTGTATCAATAAGTTCATAACCTTACTGCTCTGTGGAATAAACTTCCAAGAAGATTTTCCCCAATCACTACAATCTTAACCTGTTCATGGTTAAGGTTAACCATTATCTTCCCCTCCTACCCACACAAATTGCCTCTTAACATAATCTTCTATCTTGAGTGGCCCTCAGGCCTTGTACAGGGTGAATCTTACTGCAATAAAAAAAAAAAAAAAAAAAAAAAAAAAAAAAAAAAAAAAACCTAATGATGAAAATTGCATTTATTTATTCTACACAACAAATATTTATCAAATTAATATCCTTCTTTGTCACTTCTCTTAACCTAACATTTCTCTGCTATAAATTGCACATTGACATGCAAATTCTAGATAAAAATGAATCTAATGTGCATCAACCTATCTACTTGTGTTACCCTTCTATATTAGACAGAGAGAGAAGGTGGGGGGTATAGTATGAGTAGTTCCAATTCTCATGTTAATTCTCATTCTCAGAACTTATTATTTGAAGAAGATTCTAATTTTAAATTCCTCAACAAAAACGTCTAATACAAAGTCATATATATGCATTATTTTGACCAGAGATAATAAACAGAATATTGTCACAAAGTTGATATTAATATGTGAAGTTAATCAGTGTCAGGTCAATTCCTTCAAAAGCAGATAAAAATTAGTTATAAGAAAGAGTAACAAAGACAAGAGATAGAAAGAACTTTTCAAAAACTGAGTAAAATTAATTTTAGTTTTTCTTTTTCATTTAGAAATTAAATCTTACCTTAATTATCCTGGTTACTAATGTTATTTGGTAGCAAAATTGGTTTAATCACAATTCCAGTGTTAGAAAGTTCTATTTAAAAAAAAATTTCTTTACTCTTGAAGGAGAGCTCCTGGAAAGAGAAGTTCTGTTATTTTGAGTGTCTAACACTGGAATTCTGATTGCAGTAGGGGAGCAGCAAAGATATGAACAATTTTGGAGCATCCCAACCAGGATCAATAAAACTGGTCAGGAAGAAGAGAGCAGAATAGTGAAGATGTACAATAAAACATGATAATATAAGATGCTGGGAGTTGAAAAGATAGGGAAGAATGAGAAGCAGTTTTTAATCAATTTAATTGAAATTCCTGCAATCTGTACAAGAGTTCTAGGCACTTGTGTAAAATAAATTATAACTTTCAATCAGATTAAATTCACAAAATTATTAAACATTTTATTTCTGTATAATCATGTGACGAGGCTAATATCTGAATAAAATATCTTTCAGCTTGAAATCTGTTGATTTCAAGTATGTGTATTTGATTAAGGTAATAACTTTTAATCCATATTGATTCCTTTCATTCTACTGTGATTCAAAATTATATTTGATATAGTGGTATATATCAATTTAAATGTTATTTTTAGTGGATACTCATATTTGAGTAGACTCTCCATTTATTTATTAAACAGTATATTTATTTATTTTCATCTACCAACCTGAATATTCAAGAAAACTTATTAAAGATATGTGCTCTCCAGCAGGATTTGAACCTGCATCCCTCTGTTTGTTTCTTTGATAAGAATAACCGTTTAATGAATATATTATAACCTAATGCATAAAGTTTCTTAGTACTTAAAACTATAAAATATATTAGGAGTTTCATGAATTCTTGATAAAGTTAAACTACAAAACAGTGTAATGGGAATTATTTATAGCCACAGAGATCAATAGATGTAAAGAATATAAGCAAAATGTTGCAACATTTTACATTGTTGCATCTCCAGATCACAGATTAATGAATTATTATATTTTTTATACTAATGAAAAAAATAACTTGCTAGTTAATTGCATTGATTTCGATTCAATTTTGCAAGTATGAATTAAATCTTTCTGCATGAATCCATGTACAAAAATATGCGACGGAAACACTTCATTGGGAAAAATACATAATTCCTGTTACGTCTCTTTAATAATCATTCACTTTTTGAAAGCTGTGAAACATCAAAACAATAAATGGCAAGTAAAACCAGATTCAATTCTTTAATTTTTATTGAAGTAATTCCAAGAAATGTGCATATTACTGCTGCAATGTATTTAATCCATTTAATTTAATCCATTTCATATCATAAAATCTATTTTAGAAAAGACAGCATCTCAAACATATTTAATCAAAAATATTCTCAACAAATGATCAGAATTATATCAATATGGTAACTTTTTTTCCAAGATTTGCATTTTCAATTTATTAATTATTGAAAAAAAGATTAATTCTTATAATATCAGATATCTAATTTTCCAAAATGGTTTTGAATATATGTCATTGTACAAAATACAGGACATCTATCTTTTCTTATATTAGAGTTACTGATGTAAATTTTCTCAATAGCTGCATCTACTAGAAGGAAAGTTGAGTCACTGTTTTTGGTTTTTTTTTTTTTTTTTTTTTTTTTTTTACAAGAAAATTTTTCTTGCCAGAATCCATCTTACACATTTACAAATCTACCATTCATCTGTGCATTGAATACTGTTGCCATATCTGGTCTGGTGCTCCTGCTGTACATCTAGAGATTCTTGTAAAAACCCAAAGAAATCAAAAATTATTTATAATTACTGAGAGCGATTATTGTAAAGTCAAATCTAACCTCTTATATGTAAAAAAACATGGCCATGATTTTTTTTAAAATGTAAAATAATTTTTCTTATCAGTCTATTGAAAACTAAAACAGTGACAATGTATCAGCCAAGAGTTCTCAATTTCTCCATTATAAGTAATTGTACATTATCTTTGTTCTTTATAAAATTGAGAAAATATTAAAATGTACAAACTGCTGTTGAATTTGTGGAGCCAACACATTTCATAAAATATTCTTAAAAATTTGTGAAGTATAAAATCAAGTTTAACCAAAAATCATTCAGGTTTTCGAAACATTTCCTTACCAATCCCAAATCCTTTTATGATTTGAAAATTTGTTTATCTATCAACTATAAAGCAGACCTTTTTGTACAACAAATTAAAAGAAATATAAAATGTCATAAGAAAACTAGTTTTTATATTACTCAAAAAATTGCACAAAAGTGGAA